AAACAGACAAAAATTTTTTTATCGATTGTTCTGAGATCTGTATCCTGAGCACAATTAAGAGTAAAAATCCTTTTTTTAAACTATCCCATGTACAGAATTGGTTTCGTTTCTGTTTTATTATATGTATAGATTATTAAAAAGTTGTTCAGTTTGCTGGACTAATTATAAGTGCTGGCCAATGTAAAGTGAAATCATCTTAATGTATTGTTTATGATGGGAGTAACCAAAAGGGTAAAACAAGCCGAAAGAAGGTCAAGACACTCATGATCTGAACTAGTTTCCCTATGGAACATGAGGCGAAATATGAAGAAAGAAAATTGGGTCTCTTATCCGATCCAAAATTGCCGATCAGCTGATTTATTTACTATGGGAGGTCCAATTTTTTTGTCATATATCGTCTCACGTTCCACGGGGAAATTTGTTCAGTTTTTTAAGTACCTTGACTTATTTTGTCTTGTTATGCCCTTTTTGTTACTCCTGGTATAATATGGCATTAAGAACAACAATAATGTAGGTAAATACAAAACGTACAAAAAGTCATAGACTCCAGGAAAAATTTAACCCAGGTACGGCGTCATACCGTTAATCAAAATAAAGTGGCACAAGAACGTGGAAAGTTTTCCTATTCTCATTTACTTGGTAATGTTCATTTGCCGGGGACCGAGCATTTCGTCTTCTCCTTAATCCGTGAAAATTTTTTGCTCATAAAGTAAATTGCATTTTCTCCCGTCACGCGGTGTGGCCAAGTGTTTGGTGGTTTTGGGATAATCTTGTAAAATAGGGTCAATTTGCCGAGTGATGCCGGCTTAGAATAGCATCAGGCATCATCCCATTTCTATCGGTGGGTGTCGAAAAAGCGACTAAGGGATAATCATTCAGCGAAGAGGCAGCAGCGTTCCTTGTGAATAAAACATCTTGCACCGTGCGTCGTGAGTACGGCAATACCCCTCGAGAAGGCGAGGCCTTTGTCCAGCAGTGGACTGTTGTGGCTGTTAAGGTAAAAGAGAATTATATTTTGGTGTCATTTATTTAGCTCTGCAAATGCATCATTCAATCGGGACCGCCTTACTGAAGGCCTATTTGCGTCTTTAACTATTAACACAATTTTTTAAAATGAGTTTATCATCGTCTCTTCACTGATGTAATTAAAATGAAGTTGATTTGATAATTAATAAAGTTAATAAAAATAATACCCTACCCCGTATATTTATTTGATCTGTCCTTTTCTCACTATCAGACTACATTTATTTACTTCTTCTTAATTGTAAAATTATTTTTCTTAATTATTTCTGAGTAACCTGTTAACCGGAAAGCTGTAGACAGCCCACGGAAAAAAGCGGGTAAATTCGGGTGGGCTTATAGTTCCTTATAAACGTACAAGATCTCTAAACTCAAGTTTATTTTCCACTCAAGTAAACTTAGGGCGAACTTGATCTTGCAAACGTAGCGAGATTTGAATAGCTTTCGACCTTCGCCCTGGCTGACGGCTGACTGGCGTCGGCTAAGAGTGCTGAATTATTCAATAAAATGTTTGAACGCCACCTTGAACACTGAGCAGTCAAGGGTCGCAGGTTAATGAAGGGGAATCAGGGAATATTGTGAAATTAATTGGGAAACTATGGGCGCGCTTTGGTATAAAAAATTATCATAATACGTAACGTCCGTTTCATCTGCCGTGCAACCATTCTTTTGATCGCTAAGTTTTGAAGTGATAGATGCATATCACTTCAAAACTTAGCGATGTATTTTGATGTTTAGAATGGTTGCACACAAATGTCTTGATCAACATCGATGATAGATAAGTGATGATAACTGTTATCAGCTCTGGAGGGCCTGTTGGCACACAAGCATCCCTTGGCGAGACGAAGTTCGCGGGCACCAGCTAGTCTTATATAAATTAGTGCTGACACTTTCTGTCAAAACGTTTTAGAAAATAAAAGTGTCTTATTAATTTGTCTATATAATTTGACTCAAAATGCGCGTTATCTATCCAAACAACGTGCAAAACTAGAAATGACGAAATACCAACCGAAAAACTCATCGGCATATTTATTAAGTATGTAGCAAAGGCTTTATCCAACAATTTATAAGTAGTTTTATCCAACTTTTAGAGGCATAGTTGGTCACTCCGTAGTAGTCAGCTAAAAGTAATTGCCTACAAGATTGCTCCTCACCGGTAACTACAGGAAAAAATATACACCAACTTATTACACTCAATCAAGATACTGTAATCAGAGCAATTGACAGTTAATATAAGACCGTAAGCTCTCACTTTAAAATGTAAAAGTAATTTTATAGGATTCTATGTGTATGAATATGACATGAAATATCTTGTTAAATAATGCGCTATAAGATTTTCCGCAGTTCAAACATAAATTAGGGAGATAGTGCGCGGGGTGCCTTTACAGATGGTTCACTCAGTAATAGCGACGATTTTGACGCTTGCTGATTTTTACTGGAATAAGCTGGAATCTCAGTAAAATTCAAGGTAACTAAAAGATGGTTGCCACCAACGTCATATTTCCTGCATTTATTTTATTTTATTTATTTATTGGTAATAAGTCTTATAGCATTACAGCTTAGCCTATGCACTATAAAACTAAGGATACAACAACAGCAACAACAAATCGACATAAAATATACACAAAAGAAAAATAACAATAAGAAAAACAGTTTTCGGCAAAGCAGAGACAAACCTTATAAATCTTTGTAAGAGGATCTGCGAACAAATCTAGTTGTGGTGATGTGGCTAAGAGCGTGTTGAGCTGGCTAAGCACAAGTACAAGTGCATATTACGTTCTTGTGTCAGATTTAGAGCTGTGTTTCTTCCTTGTATTGAATCTAGCAACTCTAGCTATTTAACAAGTGACAATCGCGAAGTTTTTAAATAGATTCGAGTGACTCTGTCTCTCTCTCTCTTCGAGTGAAACTTTCTATTTTATGGTTCAAAGCTCATCTGGCAGAATACTCAGACACAAATTGAATGTTGACGTATTATTAATGGGGCCATATTACTTTTAAACATCTTTTAAAGGTAGATATATCTTGTCTTGTTTTTCATTGCTATAAACAGCAAAATCACGTTTGGATCCCGCGTTTAATAAACATTTCTATTTCGTGTAGACAACACAAGAAAACGTGTATAATATCAAACTATACTAAAACTTTATTTCAAGAAATTGGGAAAACTCAGAAACTCATTTCCTGTGTTTCGTTTCAAATGAATAAGTTAAGAAGGTTTACGACAACTGCATGCTATAAATCTTAGAGCAACAAAATGCTTCAGAGAGAATCCTATTATCAACCAAATTGAAGTCATTATTTATTTTATTTGTACTTACCATTTTTATTTTTGTTAATTATATACCTTATGTTTTAATTATATACAGCAATAGTTGTCACTTTTTTAGATGCAGCAACATTTACTGAATGGTTTAAAATAGGTTTTGTCGGACTTGTCGGTATTAGTCACACACAAGTAAATCAAAACCTTAAAAGCAGAATTGTTCATGTGTTAGCGTGAGACTATACATGGTAGAAAGGATCCCTAGATAGGAGCTGTCAGTGTGGTTGGTTTTAATCCTTTAAGTAGGTACTTACCAAATATGTTTCTTCATCAAGTCAAACCATGAGTTGTTCATGCCTGCATTCAGACTTGTTCCTAGTGTTTCATCAGAAATGTTTCTTGCTCTGCGTAAAGCATACTCTAAGAAATAAAAGTTGAGGAAATAAAGTTTATTTATGTTTACCTATTTCTTAAGTCGATCATTAAGGCGCTTTTTCTCTAATGAAGCCATTAAAAATGTTTTTAAGTACGTTTAAGTGGATTTAATTATATGTTGTTATTAATATTGTTTTTGTTTTACTGTAAAATGCTGGAATCGTTAGTAAAGTAACATAATATTTCTTACTGCCACCCTTGTAGTTTCATAAGCATGTTTTTTAGCTTTTGTATTTTTCGGTCACATTGCAAAGGATGAAAAATTGCCCAAAAATCTAACTTAGACTATAACTAAGTTCAATTAAGAGAGGAATTATAAATGGTGACCGAAGGTCATGCTTTCTCAATCGCACTAAGGATACATACACCAGGTGTTCAAGCTGTCCTCCTCCCACTTAAGATTTATAATCCCTCTAGAGCCGCCGCCATTTATATTCCCTTTCTTTCATAAACCAGGTTATACTTGCTTTTCCGTTTCTCTCGAAGATTTTCTCTACAATTTTATTTATATTCGCATTTTTAAAGGGTAAACTTAAACACATTTCTCATGATTTAGTGTCTTCAACTCTAAATCTGCAAACTACAGAGTATAATAACAAGCAAGCGTAGCAAGACTTGCTGCAGAGAATACAGCTTAGGCAAAACCGCAAACATTTTAGACAATATACAGGATGTGATAAAGATTCCAATAGATCGACTTCAATATCAATACATAGTATAAAATACTTTTTTCGTTTCTCTGTCTGTCTGTCTGTCTTGGTATTTGATAACTCCTCCTAAACCACGCAACGGATTTCAAGGGAGCAACTGCTTACGTTTGGAAAGTACGGCGCGGAGCGATATGCGCACTCTCTAGCTTGCTTACCTGTATATACTCTAAGGAAGGACAACACGTTTATCTAAAAAACTATGCATGTTATGCTACCTTTATTTTGAAACAAATGGTATTGATAGGATCTACATTTTAGATGACAGCTGTCAAATGTCTTGCCATTCAATCTGCCACTTTGGTATTTTCCTGCATAGTATTTTACCACTTTGTCATTTTGCTATTTCGATATTCTTCTACTTTGAGATTTTTGACAGGTAGCAACCCGAGGCTATGTTACAAGTGACAATCGCTAACATCCTAAATAGAGTGTAGCGATCCTTCTGTAAACTCTCTATTTTGTGACCTTGCAGCCTATTTTCTAAATTTATCATTTAATGGATTTTTTAATGTACTCACAGCGCTATATTATTCTTATAAAATGAAAATGAGAAAATTAAAAAATTCACCAGCGACCGCCGGGGCTTGAACCTGGGACTGTGGATCACCGTTTCACCGCTCTGCCAACTGAGCTACGGGCGCCTAGCGGACCCTGGTGAATTTCTCAACCTCTTGATGCTCGTCTCGAAGCGACGATTAAGCGACATCTAGTAGTAGTTTTACTAAATTGCAACTAGGCGCCCGTAGCTCAGTTGGCAGAGTTGTGGAACGTTGATCCTCAGTCCCGGGTTCAAGCCCCGGCGGTCGCTGGTGAATTTTTCAATTTTCTCATTTTCAATTTATCATTTGTTAAACACGCCCTGTATATTCTGAAAACGTGCTAAGCACGGGACGAAGCTGTGTTCGTAGTGGGCAACGTCTTACGTAGTTAAACCCCAGTTTGGATCTCAAACAAAGTGTATCGGAAAGTGCAAAGCGAGGATTAAGTATCTTTCGTTAGGCAAATAACTTTGAATGTTCTAACTTTGTCTTTCTAATATGCTACGTCATTTATGGTGAAAGTTTGTCGGGTGCGGCCGATCGTAGCCGCACGTAGTTGAGCCTATACGACTGACGCGTGTGACGATGCGGCTGTTGTCAATTTGTCATAGTATGAAAGTGTATGGAGATGGAGCCGCGTTCGAGGGGTTTAAAAATTGAACGCCTGTATTATCATAAGTAAACACAAACTTAAAGAATCGTAATTTGTCTGTATGCATACATACATACATATATCACGTCTATGTCCCTTGCAAGGTAGGCAGAGCGTAAATGGTTGTAGACAGTTTTTTACTACGTCCGACAAAAGTTTGAGACTCATTCAGATGTACCATAGTAATAGATTAGCGGCCTGTCGCCTTCAATTGCAATACACATCAACTCTTAAAATCACTTAGTCGCTTCTTACGACACCCACGGAAAAGATACATGGGGTGATGCTATTCTATTTCATATTTTTTTCTGCAAGCACAACAAAATAATGTCCTTTCTTTCTATACGTCAGAACAGAAAAGCATTTATCTGGACCAGAACAAATCGCCTGCCACTCTTGATATGCCCAGTGTCGCAGCCACCAAACGAATTTGCCCGGAAAATTACCGAACGTCCGGAAAAATTACCGTCACCCGTAAAATTACCGGTTTACTAACTTGTGCCGCAGCGTTACAGTAGAAATGATAGACGGTAAGTTGTATTTATTTTTAAAGGTCTTGAATTTTGTCTTGATGAGACTTAGAATTTTGAATATTTAAAGATACTTTAATATAAATCAAACACACGCATGATTTGTCAAAGGCTTGCTAAGGATCTGTACGAAAATATTTTAGTTTAATGTCTTATAGCAGAATAACAGAATTATAACCTGTCCTAACCTAACCTATAGGTGTCATACCAATATACTTCCAAGACCAGTGGAGAATATACTGAGGATTTAACTAAATAAAGCAGATATGGCTGGCTATCCGGCGGGATACACAATCTTCGCGATTTCTAGTCAATTTAGTCGCCATTTAGTTTTTATCGTCACTTTATTTTGACAGATAAAGCGCATTTCGCGTCAAATTTTAAGAAATTTTTAGTCGCGATAATTAATTCTTATCCCTTTCTAACCCTATTTAATGGAAAAAGTCAGCACTAATTTATGTTAAGAGAATGTGTATCTCCAAGTTGCCAGCATAATTTATTATACTGCTTAGTTATAACTGATTTTATTTGTTGTATTCTCAATGTGCTCTACTGCAATATTGTACTAGACAAGAAAATAAGGTATTTTATATTTGACTTGTTTTAAAACCCGTTGACTTAGTATTCTCATTTTAACTCTACTGTGGCAAAACACTGGACAGGATAAATAAATTGAATTAGACAAGAAAATAAGGTATTTTATATTTTGACTTGTTTTAAAACCCGTTGACTTAGTATTCTCATTTTAACTCTACTGTGGCAAAACACTGGACAGGATAAATAAATTGAATTAGACAAGAAAATAAGGTATTTTATATTTTGACTTGTTTTAAAACCCGTTGACTTAGTATTCTCATTTTAACTCTACTGTGGCAAAACACTGGACAGGATAAATAAATTGAACCATTCCATGCATTTGAACGTCTCTGATATTTGACTTGTTTTAAAAACCTTATAGTATGGATGGATAGGTATGATATGCTGATTTTGCTCTACTGTGACAACACACTGGACAGGATAATAAATTGAACCGGCCCATGCGGATTGAGAGAGGTCTTTGAATGTCTTTGAGATTTCCTGAGATAGATTTAGATTGCCGGTATTGCTTGGGAAACTAACAAATAAAACAAATGTCACTTATTCCAAAAGCGTCTAATAGTTAGGAACAGGCTGAATAAAGGTTTAAAGTTCATAGTCTCAAGAACAGCGCTGTCACAAACCCTCATAACAAATTGGGCGTTTTTGTGGACTATTAAAATAAAAACACACGTTTAGGGGAAAATATATCCAACTCTCCCTTACATCACAAATTAGGGAGACGGCGCGCGGGGCGCTTTTAAAGATGGCTTACTCAGACTAGCGTAGATTTTGACTTTAATAAATAACCCAAAGGAACTCAAGGTAACTAAAAAGATGGTTGCCACTGACGTCACATTTCTTGCATTGAAATCGGCTCGGAATCATATTACGTTCTTGTAATAAAAGAGCTGTATTTCGTCCTCGTATTGAATCTAGCTACCGTGCCTGGCTATGTAACAAGTGACAATCACGATATTTCAAAAAAGGGTCCAGTGATCCTTCTGTAAACTCTCTATTTCGTGCTAACATGCATCAAGCCACTTTCTTTCTCTTTATACTTTTTCTACCCTCGCTCCAGTTTTATCAAGACCCCCAAATGTGATTACCTAATTACCTAATGGTCTGTTCTCACATAAAGCAAAGATAATTCTGTGCTTCACATTCTGTGTGAATATCAGTGTTGTTTTCTGTGGAATAAATCTAATTTTGGTTAATGTTTGTGTACAATAAAATAAACAAATTATCTACCTACCTTTATTAGTAGTATTTTTTATTACTTTTGTGTCATTTATTATTTACTGTATATTTTCTATTGTATTTTATGTCTATTTTGTAAGTTTTATATGATTTTTTAGCCTGCAGATTTTTTATTATTATTTAGAGTAGAAATGCAGGATTATCTAAATAAGATAATATTGTGATTTTGCAAGTGTCTAGTCAAAATAAAATTCACTAGTTTTTAGTTCAAAGGAGTTTAATATTTCTTTGCTTTTGCCCAACTTTAAAGTGTTTCAGTGCAAAGTTCAAATCCAATTTTAAATGAATATGACATCAAAAATCTTCCGTCATGGATGTCATAATTATTTATGACAGACCGCGCGCAATAAGATGGCATTCAAAAGCAAAAACAATAATATGTATATAACATATCAGTGCTATCAGATCGCGGACTAATAAAGAATTTATTGAAATTAAACAGTAACTACTGACTCGTAGGTAATAGGGGTAATTCTGTTACACGAGAATGCATGAATATAAAGGAGCTCAAAACAAGTTATTTAGATGCTAATAATCCTACTCGCATTGAAGTACAGAGGTGATTGCAATCCCACTTCTGACACAAATTAGAGAAACGGCGCGCGGGCCGCCTTTACAGATGTCTCACTCGGTACGTGCGACGATTTTGACAGCTACTGACGTTAACTGAAAATAACCGCAATCTCAGAGGAAGTCAAGGTAACTAACTAAAATATGCAATGAACGCCATATTTCTCGGATTAATATTGGGTGAGAATTATAATTATGACATTATTGTTGGTATCTTAATTTGCTATGTTTGCTATCAGAAAAAAAATGGTTCTTCCACAAAAATTTACTTGGTCGCCTGGAACATTTTGCATATTTCGACCTAATAATAATATGTTCCTTGGGGAAAATTCTTCAGTTTTATGGACTAGTTCACCATTTGAAATATTTGCAGTTTTTATCATATCCTGTATTTTTAAACCTACCCTTCCGTCGTCAGTTGCGGAAAAGGATAGGATGGGATGACTAAAAAAGGCAAACTGGTTCTGACAGATCCCCACCCCTGTTGTGTATGACCTGATCTGTATCATCCATTAGCTGTCATACGTTAGGGCAGTTAGGGCTATCTTTGCAGATGAGACTTGTGAGACGTAAGATGTCATCCGTCAGATAAGTGATCGTCAGCCAACATCGCAGCGTCTCACGTGTGTAGACGGCGTCTCTTCTATTCCATTCATTTTATATAGAAACGGTTTCACGCGTCACGATGTCGCACGTCTCACGTACCCTACCCATCTCGCCTGTTGTGGAGTAAACGCCTTATATAGGACATACATGTACTGCAATTTTACGAGCGAGAATGCGCCCAACGAATTCACAATACCTTTGTTGCGTATAAAAAACTATAAACGGAACATGCAACAGAAAAAATCATGCCTATTTACGGAAATGGCTGAATGATAGAGCATTACACGACGCCTGGAGCCGCCATTCACCCTTACCTTTTGTGCTACAACAATGCGTTTTGCTCATCGCCGTGCCAACAGAACGACGCGGGTAATGAAGGATAGGGCGGCGTCTACATGATACAATCTTAGCACAAAATAGAGAGCGTACAGAAGGTTAACACGACCCAATTTAGGATTTTCGCGACTGTCAATTGTTACATAGCTAGGGTTGCTACTGTCAAAAATATTCAAAGTAGACGAATATCAAAACAGCAAAATCTGATACAAGGACGTGAAATACTTGTCATGAGCTGATACCTACCCATATTATAGGTATCATTTGATTTAAAATAATAGTAAGCTTATTTTATTTTAATAAAAGCTGTAAAAACATCATGTAGGTAGGCATTGAACTAAACAAATTACCAGTATGTTAGTACTGAAAGACAAAGATTAAGAAAAAACTACCAACAACCATCATCCAGAAAAAATACCGTGCAGTGAACACGCAGCTTTACCAAATGCACGCTACGACGCCTCCGCTACGTACTCGCGGATTAAATTCCTTTGTGCCGGCTTGGTGTAGCCACATTGTACCGTTCTGTCCGGACAATGCATAGCTTAGTCAGTCCGCGGTACAGTGACGAC